CACAGGAGACCACTTCCTACGTATAACCCCAGCAGCACAGACAGTAAGGGCTGCATTGAATAAATGGGACCTCCTGAGACTGAGAAGCTTCTGTAAAGCAAAGGACACTGTTGCTAAGACAGAAAGGCAACCCACTGACTGGGAGAAAATCGTCACCAACCCCGCAACTGACAAAGTCCTGATCTCCAAAATATATAAAGAACTCAAGAAACTAGACTGTAAAAGGCTAATCAACCCAATTATAAAATAGGGCACTGACCTGAACAGAGATCTCTCAACAGAAGAATTTCTGAGAAACCGCCACACTGCTTTCCAGAGTGGTTGCACAAGTTTGCATTCCCACCAGCAATGGATGAGTGTACCCCTTTCTCCACAACCTCTCCAGCAAAGGCTATCATTGGTGTTTTTGATTTTAGCCATTCTGACAGATGTAAGATGGTATCTTAAAGTTGTCTTGATTTGCATTTCCCTGATCGCTAAGGAAGTTGAGCATGACCTTAGGTGTCTTTTGGCCATTTGAACTTCTTCTGTTGAGAGTTCTCAGAAAATTCGGGATCAACCTACCCCTGGATCCAGCAATACCACTCTTGGGAATATACCCAAGAGAGGCCTTAGCATACAACAAAAATATATGCTTTACTATGTTCATAGCAGCATTGTTTGTAATAGCCAGAACCTGGAAACAACGCTAGCCGACTACGAGCCATTTAAAGGTTGAGGCGTGGTCTACGACGTAGCCAATGAGCTTCGGGAGGTGCGCACAGACCAGCCAGGATTACGTAATGGTGCAAGGCTCCACCGCCCAGGGCGGGGCCCAGGAGCCAAGTTACTGGAAGCATTTTAAGGGTTTGGAAAAAAAAATATCAAGCAAGGGACCGCCCAGGTTTTCTTGTGACTCCGCCCACAGTAGGGCGTGACCAAGGAAACAGCTCACTGAGGCAGGGAAGGTGGAAATTACGCAATGATACAAGGGGTGGGTCCAGGCGTGGTCAAGGAGCGTCTCTCCAGACGCCGGACGGTGTCTACGACGATTGAGTACAAAGAAGAGGCCAATGGGGTGATCGCTCCAGGGCGTGGCAGGGGCTCACAGGTTTTAAGAGTATTGTGTAATACCCAAGAGGCGGGCCAATCTCATGTGACATTGCCCTGGTCCTGGCAAGGATCTCGTCTCTTAGCGCCTCATAGTGTCTGCAGGAATTGAGTAATTGTACAAGCGGGGCGGGCTTAGTGTTGGATGGCGACGCCCAGCGCGTAACCAAGGCAGCTAGTCCTCCAGACCAGGCTTAGAGAGAATTGCGCAAGGGCCAGCTCTCTTTGAGGCTCCTCCCTGGGCGTGGCCAAGAAACGCCTGCTTCGGGCAATAGTGCTACTAGGGGGCTGAACTGCGCAGCGGGGGTTACGTTAAGTCACGTGATCTAATGTGGCGCTTGGAGGGGGGTGGGGCAGGAAAATAGGCCGAGCCCTAGTTGGAAAAGGGCAGGGTTTTCTGGGAGGCGGAGCGTGCGCAGGACAATCCCTAGGCAGCACACGCTTTAGGCCGTAAGTGTGGGCATGCTCCGCTGGGCGCGAGCGTGGAGGGTCCCCCGGGGGAAGCTTGGTGCCTCTTCTCCCAGACGCTCGGCGGTGCCTGTCGCCTTCAGTAGCAGTCGCAGTGGTGGACGAGGAGCCGAACCGAGGTCAGTCAAGGACACCCGGAGGGTGGGACTTCAAGGACACCCGGTGTAGGACTCCGCTGGTCCTCTCCGCACGCGGCCCGGCTGGCCCCGCCCCTCCCTTGGCCGCGCCCCGCCCCTCCCTTGGCCGCTCCCCTTCTCTCCTTCACCCTCCCCCTTTCTCCATGGTGGCCCCCACTTTCCAGGCCGCTGGCGCTCTCCTATAACCTTCTTGATGGAGAGGCGACACTTCCAGCTATCGTCTTTTTGCATGGACTCTTCGGCAGCAAAACCAACTTCAACTCCATCGCCAAGGCGATGGTCCAAAGAACCGGCAGGAGGGTGAGCTTCCGGGTGGGGTGGGGCATGGGTGGGCGGGGCCTAAGGGGGAAATCTGAAGATTGTGGATCTTGCTTAAATCTCTCAAGTCTGGGCTCCTGCTCATAAGTGGAAAGTTTCAGTGCACAGTCACCCGAAAAACACCTTCGAAGAGGACGGGTCTGCAAGGTGCCTTCTAGTTCGTCCATTTATGTTACAGAGCTCCACCTGTCCCTGTGTCAGGTCCCAAAGAAACTCAGGTCACGTGGCTATTTGTGATGCCTATTACCCTACCAAAGAGCATGCTGGCTGCCAAGCTCACTCAATACTAGTGACTCCTCCACCCCAACTTCTACCATAAACTTGTCCAGCCCAAAGGTTTCCCTTCCCTTCTCCCAGCTTCTCTTTTCTATATAACCCGGTAATTTCAGCCACCCGCTCTCTTGGTTCTCTTGGTCTGAGGCTCTTCTCTAGGTCCGAATGCCCACTCCCCTCCATACCTAAAGTTGGGATTTGACCAACACATGCATACACTATGGCATATGCGCGTGCACACACCTATATACATTTATATGTATATAGTAAAAATCAAGGAATAAGTCGGATAGCAACTTAAAGAAGCCATTCAAGAGTGACCTCTGGCCTCTGCGTGCACATGAAAATGTAAACACATGCTCATACACAAACATAATTGTGTCCCCAGGCTCATCTCCCTGACTGCTTCATCGTTTCCCAGGCTTTTCACTGTCTATAATCAGTGTACCACCATTCCTGTATTCCTATTTCACCCCACACTCCAGGTGTTGACAGTGGATGCTCGGAACCATGGTGACAGTCCCCACAATCCAGATGCAAGCTACGAGGCCATGAGTCAGGACCTTCAGGGCCTCCTGCCACAGCTGGGCCTGGTGCCCTGCGTCCTCGTTGGCCACAGCATGGGAGGAAAGACAGCCATGTTGCTGGCACTGCAGAGGGTGAGCTGCGTCCGTCTGCATCCTCTTAATGCACCGGAAGTGCCCAACTGATGATCTGGGACACGTCCGTGCTTTGGGTGGCCAGGCTCCAGCGACCGTGCTGGAGACTCAGTGAGATTCTATCTCATAGCCAGATGTTGTGGAGCGATTGGTTGCTGTAGACATAAGCCCAGTAGGAACCACACCTGGATCATATCTAGGAAGCTACATAGCAGCCATGAAGGCCGCTGATATCCCGGAGAAGGTGCCGCACTCCCAGGCCCGAAAACTGGTAGACGCACAACTTAGCGCCACTGTCAAGGTGATTCACGCTACCCCCTTCTCCTCACCCCCATGGTGTAGATAGACTGAGGCGCATGTGGGTCTCACAGAGAACCCCTCACAACTGCTTGACCCACCGCAGGACCCAGCCATTCGGAGGTTCCTGCTCACTAACCTGGTGGAGGTAGATGGGCGCTTCTCTTGGAGAATGAACTTGGAGACTTTAGCTCAGCACTTGGACAAGATTCTGACCTTCCCACAGCAGCTTGAATCCTACTCGGGGCCAACTCTCTTTCTGATTGGTGGAAATTCTAGATATGTACAGTAAGTCGTTGTAGGGCCAGAGGAAGGACTGTGCCTTACCACCAGCTGTGGGAGTCCGCTTGGGTCAGGGAGGGCTTGGGTGTGGGCATGGGGTACCTGGGGACCTGGCAACACCACTGGGCACGGAGGCTCCTGCAACTCTCTCATTCTCTCCTGTTCTCTCCCCCACCCCCACCCCCACCCCCACCCCCCGCCTCCCTTCTTCCCTCCCTCTCCCTCTCTCGTCCTGGTTTGACCTCACTATGGTGGCCAGACCCAGCCACCACTCAGAGATTAGGCGTCTCTTTCCTCAAGCCCAGATTCAGACCGTGCCTAACGCTGGCCACTGGGTCCACAGTGACAAACCCCAAGACTTCATGGATGCCATCAGCAGCTTCTTGGCCTAAGAAATGGCTCCTTGAAAGAGCAGACAGGGAACTCTGGACTGGCATCTTTGCAGCCGGCTGCCTGCTTCTGCATAGACCAATTCAGGTGGGCACAGAGAGGGCCCAGAAGTACAGAGATCATCCGACCCTTTAATAAATAAAGGCAGTTCTCTTAAAGTTCTGGGGTCCATTTTCTTTTTTTTTAAATATATATTTATTTATTATGTATACAATATTCTGTCTGTGTGTATGCCTGCAGGCCAGAAGAGGGCACCAGACCCCATTACACATGGTTGTGAGCCACCATGTGATTGCTGGGAATTGAACTCAGGACCTTTGGAAGAGCAGGCAATGCTCTTAACCTCTGAGCCATCTCTCCAGCCCCTGGGATCCATTTTCACCACCATCGTCCCCACTGGCTCCGCGAGAGGTGCATCCGGGAGTTCCTGCCGGTGCTTGTGTTCGCTTGGGTCCCCAGCATGCCCCTGGACTCTCCCTGCAACTGACTCTGTACTCTCTCTCGAACCACCTGCTGCATGTCTTCCTGGGGACAGGAGAGAGAGCTGATTCAAGGCAGTCCCTGCTGACTAAGGGGCGTCTTCCAAACCTCCCAAGTCAGAGGCCCCACCCTACCTCCCAGGCCTCCACTTCCTGCTTCAGCCTCAGTTTCTCCTGCAGGGCTTCCAGCAGCTGAGCCTCCACAGTGCGCAGTCTCTCTCTGCAGGAGTGCAGCTCAGCTTCCACTGCGCGTTTCCTGCAGGCAGCAGGGGATTTCTAGTGGCTTCCTTCCGGGGATGTCTGGAGTCCCTTTCCTCTCCTGTAGCAGGAGTGAGTCCCCCCACAACCCCATCTGCGGTTTCTCTCACTTAGCAATGGCTTCATCCCGCTCCAACAGGGCTTGCTCCAGGGAAGGCTCTGCCCGGGTGTCCCCCAGTGCTCCAGCCGCTCGGGATTCTGGGTTCTGTTGGAAGGTAATAGATGTGGAGGCAGTGATCTGGGGCTGGTCTGAAAGAGAAGCCCCACAGCCTTGACCCTGGCCCTAACCAACCTGCCCTGTTATGTCAACCTAATCTTACCACCCATTGCCTCCAGGGGGCGCTTCGTCCTCATCTTGTAAAGCCCTAGAAGAACCTTTGGCTGGCTAGCCGGGAAGTAGGCCAGGGAACTTTGGGCTTTACTCAGGAGTGGCAAGCGAGATAGATCACTTCGCTGGGTTTAGCAAAATGGACAGTGTTTGAAACTCCCAGAGAGAAAGGCTTTCTTACACTGGCCACGGGAAATAGTAATAATGAGTAGGCTGGGACCACTTACCTTTCAGTGTCCCTACAGAGGTGGCCTGGTGACTCTCGTCAGCTGGTCGTGACTAAGAGAAGACAGAGCCCTTTGCCCTTCCAGGCAAGGCACTCCCTAGCAGACTCCACCTACTGAAGGACAGTCTGGGGCAAGGAGCAAGTGCACACCTCCCTCTCACACGTTGGAACGCCCCAGGCCTTTCCCAAGTCTCACCTTCCTTCGCCCCTAGGGGGCGCTCCACCCTGTCTTGCTATAGCCAAGGAGAGGACAACCTTGGCTTGGTCCAAGACCAGACTGCAAGGCTGAGCATGAGGCTTGATTCTTTGCTAGCCCTTCAGGCATGATCTGTTCCCAGAATTCTAAACCTACCTCAGAAGGAAAAAAAAAATCCCAAGGCATCCTTACCAATATCTTGAATACCCATCTTCCACTATGCTATTTCTAGTATACTCCAAGCATGCAGGACCAGATGAGGGAATTTTGCTTGTTTGATTTGAGACAGGGCTTCTCTGTGTAGCCCTGGCTGCCCTGGAACTCTCTCTGTAGATCAGGCCTGTCTCAAAATTAGAGATCTCCCTGTTTCTGCCTCCCAAGTGCTGGGATGGTGCCCATCGTTCTCAGTATTCGGGAAGCAGAGACAGGTGGATCTCTGAGTTCAAGGCCAACCTGGTCTACAGAGCAAGTTGCAGGGCAGCCAGGGCTACACAGAGAAACCCTGTCTTGAAAAGCCAAAAAGGAACAGAAACCTAATATGTTATCAAACATCAAACCCATTTGCCTTAGCTCTCTGCTCTCAACTTGAAGTAATCTGTAGCCTGTGACTTTTCATGGCCGTGGCAGGTACACTGTCCCTTCCTTTGGGTTAGTCTGGCTTGCCTCTTGATAACACCATCCCTTTGCACTTCCCCCACAACAGCCCAGAAATGAGGCTGTTTGCTGGTGCTGCCCAGTGTAATTGAATCCGTGACATTAGTGTCGGTCACCTGACGGACGGAGGTGTTCAGTCCCATTTTGGGGGAGGGAAGAATTTTTGAGACGTTGAGCATCTTTTTCTTCCTTTCTTTTTAAAATCTCATTGTGCAGTGCTAGGTTAGGAATGAGCACAGGCACTTGCACATGCTAGGCAAGTGTTCTGCTGCCCAGCCATGTTCCATATCCTCACTGGGGGATTCAGTGGGGCTCTACCACTGAGCCACACCCCCGAGCCCATAGAATACCCTTTTGTACAAGGGATTGAACATCCTAGCATCCTCTGATTAGATAGTGCTAGAGATTCTTGAGCCAGTATCTCCAAGGACAACTGTACCTAGAGACCATGATGAGGTGGCTGTTAGATGGGCTCGGTGCTGTTTGGTATGTGCATTTCCACAGCCAAATGTCCACTTTCACATCTGTACAGTTATTTGTCTTCATAGATTACACATTTGTTTGCATCTTTCAGTGGTGTCCAGAGTGACATGTCACCCTAACCTTTCCCCTTTCTGTTTCTTTTGTTTTCTTTTTGTTTCTGTTTTTTGGTTTGTTTTTGTTGTTGTTGTTTTTGTTTTTCAAGACACAGTTTTTCAGTGTAACTTTGGAGCCTTTCCTGGCACTTGCTCTGTAGACCAGGCTGGCCTCCAACTCACAGAGATCCGCCTGTCTCTGCCTCCCAAGTGCTGGGATTAAAGACATGTGCCACCAGATCTGGCTCCCTTTCTGTATTTTTATTTTCCTTCTTCAAAAAGCAAGAAACAGAGCCAGCAAGGGGGCTGAGTAGGTAAGTGTACCCGCTGCCAGTCCTAAAGACCTGAGTCTCATCCCCGGGATCCACAGGCACTAGGGGATGACACACGATATGACAGTGACTGTGCAGAGCAGAAGTGCCAATGCAGGGTCTGAAGAAACTTTCACAAGCCAAGGAAATGGAGCGGCACAGTCCTTTAATGTCCACACAGTGTGGCTCCTGCGTGATGGCGCACACGCGCACATACACTACACACACACACACCAGTAAAGTTAAAAGTTACCAAAAATGAAAAACAATGGGGCTGGAGAGATGGCTCAGAGGTTAAGAGCACTGCCTGCTCTTCCAAAGGTCCTGAGTTCAATTCCCAGCAACCACATGGTGGCTCACAACCATCTGTAATGGGGGTCTGGTGCCCTCTTCTGGCCTGCAGGCATACACACAGACAGAATATTGTATACATAATAAATAAATAAATATTTAAAAAAAATGAAAAACGAACTAGCTTTGCCATGCGGTGGTGGCACACGCCTTTAATCCCAGCGCTCGGGAGGCAGAGGCAGGCGTGGATCTCTGTGAGTTCAAAGCCAGCCTGGTCTACAAGAGCTAGTTCCAGGACAGGCTCCAAAACCACAGAGAAACCCTGTCTCGAAAAAAGAAAAAGAAAGCAAGCTAGCTTTCCTGGTCATCGATGTCTCATAATTTGCTCATTTGTCTAGTATGTCCTGATCTTTCCATGGGGCTGGACTCCCCTCAGCTTTTATTTGTCTATTTATTTTTAAGTCAGGTTGATCTTGAACTCACAGAGATCTGCCTGCCTTTGGATGCTGGGATTAAAAGTGTGAGCCATCAAACCCAGATCAGCTTTTATTTGTTGACTTCGTTTTTAGATTTTTATTTTATTTTTAATTTGGTCTCCATAGTAAGTTCTAGGATAGCCAGGACTATGTAGACAAAACAAATGATAATAAATCACTTTTTGTTGCATTCATTTGTGTATTCTGTATGTGTATGATCATGCATGTGTGTAGGTCAGTTCCACAGGCTTTGTGCCTTTACTCCGAGCCATTTCACCTGTTCCAGATACAGGGGTCTTGTTATGTAGCCAAACATGCAGGGACACTACTGCTGAGCCCTGCTCCTGGCCCTCACTGGCAGATGTTAAACAAGGCCACTCCACCTTCCAAGTGCTGGGGTTACAGGCCTGGGCCACCATGGCTCAACCTCTGAGCCATCTCTCCAGCCTTTTTTTTTTTTTTTTTTTTTTTTTTTTTTTTTTTTTTTTTTTTTTTTTTTTTTTTTTTGGTTTTTCGAGACAGGGTTTCTTTGTAGTTTTGGAGCCTGTCCTGGAACTGGCTCTTGTAGACCAGGCTGGCCTAGAACTCACAGAGATCCTCCTGCCTCTGCCTCCCAAGTGGTGGGATGAGAAGCAACGTCATTCATTCTGCAAATATTTTAGGTGTATGTGTGGTGTGTGTGCACTCACACCTGTGTATGTGCAAAAAGGTTTATTTTATGTATGTGAGTGCTCTAGCTACAAGTATGCCTTCATGCCAGAAGAAGGCATCAGATCCCACTAGAAAATGGTTGTGAGCCACCCTGTGGTTGCTGGGAATTGAACCCAGGACCTCTGGAAGAGCAGCCAGTGCTCTTAACTACCAGCTCTTATTATGGTTTTTTGAGACAGGGTTTCTCTGTGTAGCCCTGGCTGTCCTTGAACTCTCTGTGTAGACCAGGCTACCTCAGAAATCTGCCTGTTTCCTGAGTGCTGAGATTAAAGATATTCGCCGCCGCCACCCAATGTGTGTGTGTGTATTCATGTGTCCTACAAACTTGCTCTGATCAAGCCATGTATCCTGGTGATGGGAAGAAAAATAGACCAGCTTTCCCGGTCTTGGGACACTCACATTCTAGAGAAGGGAGATGGCAGATGCTGTCAGGCATGCCTGTCATCCCAGCACTCAGGAGGCTGAGTCACAAAGTTCAGGGGCCAGAGATGCAGCTCAGCAATTCAGAGCACACACTGCTCTTGCAGAGGAGCCGAGTTCAGGTCCCAGTACCTAAGACAGACAGCTCACAACTGCCTGTAGCTCCAGCTCCAAGGAATTTGACACCCTCTCTGGCCTCCAGGGGTGGGACCGAGGGGTGGGGCCAAGGGTTCTGACCATCACTATGCAAATTAGAAATGCTAGCAAAGGGTGTGGATAAACTGACAAGCTAAACACCAGTTCAACACTCAACAGAAGGTTCTCCTTGAGGGGCTGAGAGCTATCTCAGTGGTTAAACTGGGGGTCTCTGCAAACACTCGGGCCAAGAGAAATGGTTTGAACGAAGCAGAGGGAGATCCAATGCAAGCGGACTCGGTAGCCAGTGGAGGTTCAAATTTCCTACTGTTGTGACCCCTTAATGTAGGTCCTCATGGGGTGATGCCCTCCAGCCATAAAATTATGTTTGCTATTACATCATAACTAACTTTGCTACCGTTGTGATTTATAGTGTAAATCTCTAATATGTAGATATCTTAGGGGCCCCCTGTGAAAAGGTCATCTGAACCCCAAAGGGGCTGCAACCCCCAGGCTAAGGACCACTGCTCTAGAGTCCAACATCAGGCAGTTTATTTTAGGCAAACTTAAGTACAGTACAATTTGGGGGAAAAAAATCCCGGTGACAATCCCATGTCCATAAGGAGGCATAATCACATCACAACTTTTCTCAAAATACATGTCACTTCTTCCATGACAGTGGGTGCTAGGCTGGGCGTGTTATCTTAAGGGCCTAGGGAGGATCTGGTGCGGTCCCCCTCATTCAGATAGTGCAGAGTGATGGAGGTGGGTCTTGTATCTTATCTGTTGATTTCATTGGTTAATAATAAAGAAACTGCCTCGGCCCTCATAGGACAGAAAATTAGGTAGGCGGAGTAGACAGAGGAGAATGCTGGGAAAAAGAAGCTGAGTGAGTGAGTCGCCATAATGCTCCCACTCCAGACAGACGCAGGTTAAGATCCTCTCTGGTAAGCCAGCTCATGGGCTACACAGAATATTAGAAATGGGTTAGAACAATATGTAAGAGCTAGCCAATAAGAAACTGGACCTAGCCAGGCCAGGCAGTGTTTGAAAGAATACAGTTTCCGTGTAATTATTTCTGGGTATAAACTAGCCATGCAGGTGGCCGGGTGCCGGGGACGCAGCCCTGCCGCTCCTAATTTCAACAGCAGAGGTCATATGGGCTATTACCCACCTCTGGCCCTGGTTGTGGGGAAGCCCCTGGCCCTACAGGTAGCACAAGGGTCACCCAGACTCCTAAGTATCTCGAGTCCTGCTTTTTGAATCTGGGGAAATCTCTAGCCACACAGATAGTGCAGGGGCTACCTGGGCTGTTAACCTCCTCCATCCCTAGCCTTCTGAACAGAAAACAGGCTATATACCTTTTCTCTTGAAAAGACAACCCTTGCTGGGCCGGTAGTGCCCACCTTTAATCCCAGCACTCAGGAGGCAGAGGCAGGTGTATCTCTGAGTTCGAGGCCAGCCTGGTCTACAGCAATTGTTCCAGGACAGCTAGGGCCATTAAACAGAAAGAAACCCTAACTTGGAAGACAAAAGAAAAGACAGCCCTTTGTGTTTAACATTCCTAGTTTCCCTAGTGCAATCTGAGAGCACAAGGACCTTTGCACTCTAAACAAAGAGCTCTGGTTACTCTTGCAGAGGACCCCAGTTCAGTTCCCAGCACCCCACATCTCACAGCTTTCAACTGTTTGTAACTCCAATTCCCAGTGATCTGCCGCCCTCTTCTGGCCTCCTTGGGCACTGCACTCACCTGCACATACCCAGCCACAAAAGAAAATACATCCTTAAAAATATTTTTGAAAAGATGTGGCTTTTAACTTTTTGTTTTGTTTTTGAGACAGGGTTTCCTCTGTATAGCCCTGGCTGTCCTGGAACTCACTCTAGCTGGAACTCTCAGGCTGACCTTAAACTCAGAGAATCACCTACCTCTGCCTCCTGAGTACTGAGATGAAAGACAGGCGCCACCACTGCCCAGCTCAAGATGTGATTTTTAAATATTTAAGTTTTCAATATTTTAACTACTTCTAAGTGGAAAGTCAATTATTCATCTTCTTATAAATGGAACTATGAGGCCAAATTTCTCTCTTTTGATCTTATCAGCAGGAAATAGAAGGAAATAAATGTATATCCAGAAATGATGGATTTCAACCAAAACACCATCTCAAAGGTCAGAGTCTAGCAGCAAGAGTCGCCGCCTGGCTGCCTGTCTGTCTGTTTTCCTCTCCTACTGAACTCGGCCTTGAAGTTGAGATGGTTGCCATTTAGTGATGAACTGGAAGGGAGAGAGGAGAGCAGAGGAAGAACCCTGTTTGGAGGCCTGCAGGTGGGCTTTGTGCCAGGAGAGCTGGGACTTTGGAGCGGGGGGGGGGGGGGGGCTCTCAGAATCTAAACTCTTAGACCCTGATTGAAAGGTCTTTATCTATAAGATAGAGCCAAAGGGGATCTGTCCGTCTGGATCACATAGGGGTTTGCATGAAGCACTGGAGAGAGGAGAGATGTCTTTTCTATCAAAGATGGCTAGCCCGTCAAGAGGTGTTATTCCACAAACCTCCCCCATCTTGAAACTCTTGCATGCTGGATAGTTTTATGTCAACTTGACATAAGCTGAAGTCATTTGAGAGAAGAAAATATCAATTAAGAAAATGCTTCCAGGGCTGGAGAGATGGCTCAGAGGTCAAGAGCATTGCCTGCTCTTCCAAAAGGTCCTGAGTTCAATTCCCAGCAACCACATGGTGACTCACAACCATCTGTAATGGGGTTTGGTACCCTCTTCTGGCCCGCAGGCATACACACAGAATATTGTATACCTAATAAATAAATATTAAAAAATTATATTTAAAAAAAAGAAAATGCTTCCATAAGATCAAGCTGTAAGCAAGGCTATAGGGCATTTTCTTTCCTTCTTTCTTCCTTTCTTTCTCTTTTTGCCATTTTTAGTTTGTTTGTTTTTTCAAGACAAAATTTCTCTGTGTAGCCCTGGCTGTCCTGGAACCCACCTTGTAGACCAGGCTGGCCTCAAACTCAGAGTTCCACCTGCCTCTGTCTCCTGAGTGCTGGGATTAAAGGTGTGCGCCACCACCACCCAGCTGCACGTTTTTCTTAACTTATGGGAGAAGGCATCACTCACTGTGGATCCTGGATTCTGTAAGGAAGCAGTTGGTGGTGGCAGCGAAGGCTGTGGTGCACGCCTTCAATCAAAATACTCAGGAGCAGGTGGATCTCTGTAAGTTCGAGGCCAGCCTGGTCTACAGAGCTAGTTCCAGGATAGCCAAGGCTACACAAAGAAACCCTGTCTCAAAAAAACAAAGAAACAAAAATTAAAAAAGCAGATTGAGCAACCCATGACAGGGAGCCAGTAAACAACGCCCCTCCATGGCCTCTGCATCAGCTCCTGCCTCCAGAATCCTGCCCAGCTTGAGTTCCTGCCCCGTCTTCCTTCAGTGATGAACAGCGATATGGAAATGTAATAAACCCTTTCCTCCCCAAGTTGCTTTTGGTCGTGGCGTTTTATCATAGCAATAGCAACACTAGGACATCTTGTGTCTGTGCCTTTTTGCCCCATTCCTGCATATGGCTGAGACCTGACTCTGACATAGACTGTCGCTCTGTTCTTAGGACGAATCAGCCGATCCACTCAGATCACGTGGCTGAGCTGCCACCGGCAGGGGTAGGCGCAGGCAAGAAATCAAACTAAGCTAGCATCCCTTGAAGTTTGTGCTTGCTAGGGTGGTTTGGGTCATGGTGTAGCCTCTTTTTTTTTTTTTTTTTTAAAAAAGCAGTTACGAGAACTTCTTCCTCTTGCAGAGGACCCTGGTTCGATCCCAAGCACCCACATGGTGGATCACAACCAGTTCCAGGGGATCTGATACCCTCTTCTGAATTCTGTATGTACCAGGCACATACCCGATGTATTCTGGCAAAACACTCGCATACATTAGAAAGAAAAAAACTGCTTCAATGAGTTGTTTTCTCTTCATTATGTTTTCGTATATCATATTGAGAATATTCTTTTCTAGCACAAAGGTGGCTCAGTGATTAAGAGCACTTGTTGCTCTTGCAGAGGATCTGAGATCAATTCTCAGCACCCATGTCAGGTGGCTTTCAGTCGTTTGTAATTCCAGCTCCAAAGGATCCAACGCCCTCATCTGGCCTCCAAAGGCATCCGTGTACACATAAACTAAAAACAAAA